ATACCAGAATTAAATTCATAGAAGACACAACACTGAGAATATAATACCTTCACAAATGAAACCTGCGGGTGCTCTTTAGCCAATTCTGCCATCACGTCGTTCATCTGCGTGCACTGGGGAGACCATGGTGCCCAGAAATGGATCACAAGTAGGGACCTGTAAATCAGAAAAATGCATTTTTAAATATTATACTAACTTTGGAATATACAGAAAATGAATAAAATATTACATTGTTAATAACATATTTGCCCACCTGGAAAACCAAAGCAAGTGGGCGCAGTTGCCGGAGGAAATAAATGAGTTTTAGCATGCAAGCCAGTGTCTCAGATCAAAATCCAGGGAAAAGTATCTACTCACAATAGTAATAAATGCATTAAGTCAAATTCTTGGAGGTACTGAGGCCACTATAACATTTATTCAAAGAAAATAAAATCTTAATGGGAAAAATAAAATATAGGACCTCCACCCTCTCCTGGTTGGAAAAACATTAGTAAAATAACCTATTACTAATTAAAACCTTCGATATATTTTTCTAAACATTAGAAACCACATGATAAAATAAATGTGAGCCTATCAAAGAATATTAATAAATAGTAACAGACTCATTTTTGTTAAATATTTAATTCATACAAAAGAATATGTCATGTACAAGCTATAAATAACAATAAAATGAATTATCTGTGTGCCTACCACCCAGCTAAAGAAATAGAAAATGTCTACCATCTCTGGAGACCCTGTATAGCCCACCACAAAGATGCCCACCTTCACTAACCTCTTCAAGAGATAACCATCATCCTCAATTTTGTGTTCATCATTCTCCTACTTTTGTTTTCCATGAGTGCAACTAACCCTAAACAATGTTTCATTTTGCACATTTTTGCAATTATATAAAGAAAAAAAATTATACTAACTTTAGAAATAAACCAATGCTGATATACATTAAATTCTATTACCAAAAAAACTTTAAAAGAACTGCCTGAATTGTTTTATACTGTTAGAATTTTGTTGTATTCAACACTACAATATAAGAACACTCTGCAAGGTTCTTGAGACTCTTGCAGATGAATTTTCAAGTTAATGATATTTCCTGAGTCAAGATTTAACCCTTATGAAGTGGGTCAGAATATTCATTCATCTCAATTAATAGTCAGATAAACCAAGTATACCTTCAGGCCCTTGAGGAAAGTGGAAACATTTCTGTATTAAAGGCACATTGTGAAAAATGGCTGTGGATACATTATTACCACTAACATCAGTGTTTACTTTTTAAACATGGTATTGTCATGAAGGGGCATAATCATGACTACAAAAATCATGACAAAATGCGGAAAAGGAAGGCGGCCCAGCAGAAGACAGAAAAGAAGTCTTCTGCTGTTTCCAAAGACATACTTTTATTGTTTTGATACTATGCTACTAAAGATTTGCTAAACATTTACAGTACGGGCAGAACAGTGGATTAATATTATTAACTAAAGTCTTAGGAATCTCAGTGTATACCTATCTTATTTTCATACAAAATTATTTTGGAAAAGATATCTTTAAGTCTATTATCATACCCAACTGAAAACTGCTTCAGCTTTATAGAATTCTGTTCAAATATAATACGCCCTCTTAAAAAATGTGAAAATCAGTGGGAAAAGGTGACATGGAAAAAAGGACTAAGGACAACTAAACTGTGGGCAAGGAAAAGAATAACAAACTGTAAAAACCAGTAAAATAATGCAGGTGAGAGAGGTGCAAGCCTACAATAAAGCGTCAGGCAAGCACTGGGGAAATCTCAGAGGTAAGTAAATGGGGCAGGATTTGGTGACAGAGAGGCACCACCTCTCTGCACACCAAGTTGTGCTTCAAGACTGGTGGCTAGTGGTGGCACTAGCCTGGAATCATAGTGCAGAAGCTGCCAACTTGAGAGGGTTAGTCAAATGGGCTATAGTATGATGTCTCAAGCTCAGGAAAGGGTCTGCACCTGAGGTACGGAGAAACACACAGTACCGGCGCCACGGCACAGACGGATGCAGGAGACCCAAAGAGACCCAATGCCTCAGGGGCTCCTCAAGACCAAGTTGGACAGATGGAGAAGGAACTTGTGCAGTGAAGGGGTCATGAGAGGAAGACAAAGGTTACAGGGTCTCCCAGAAGTCAAGAGTGGAGTGCCAAGAAGGAAGGCGTGACAATCAACAACTGCAGCAGGATGGGCAGTGAGCAGCAGAGCCCAACCTCAATGGAATGGCAGCAGCACAAGTCAGACTGCAGCACATGGAGGACAGGACTGAAGATGAGGATGCAGAGATCTTCTCTCTGATCTCTAAGAAATCTGCACTAGGCAGAGGAAAAGACAGGATCAAGGTATGTGCTTTTTTAATACAGGAAAATCTTCATCTGTTTACTTTGTAAGGGGCAGTGCAAAGGGGGAGGGGGAGGCCAGGTCTCAGAAGAGGAGGGGCAAGGGGTATCTGGAGCAGAGAAGACTCACCTTGCAGAAGGCGGGCAGTCTTCTCTGAGTCAGAAGCAAAGGAATTAAGAATGGGTAAGGCTACAAGTAAGAGAATAGATGCTCGTGGAGAGGGGAGGAGGGCTCGGAGAAATGCTACTTGAAGACTTCTTTTCGCTCAGGTAGGAAGCAAGGTCATTTGCTGAAACAAAAGAAAATAGAGGGCAGGGATCACCTGTAGGACTGATTAAAAAGATTGAGCTGTCCAGGGGTACACAAAAGGAAAGCAGAAGGCTCCAGAGGAAGACTCGCCTAAGACAGGAAAGGACACATTATAGGGACCCCCTCCACCCTACGCTGATGGGTATAACTTGCATCCTGTGGAACTCGGCAGCTTCAATGGATGAGCAGGTAGGCCTCACATCTACGGCGGAGACTATGTTGTTTCCTCAAACACTGTTTCCTTTTCCTCCTGGGCGTTCGGCTAGACTGCTGTTTCCTTTTCCTCCTGGGCGTTCAGCTAGACTGCCGTTCAGCTAGACTGCCGTTCAGCTAGACTGCATTTTCTAGGCCTCCCTGCAGTTGTTTGGAGCTCTGGCACTGAGTTCTGGCCAATATTCAGACCCCCCAAAACCCTTCCTCATAAGCCTCTGCCTACTCTATCTAGCCTTGCTCCTCAGTGATGCAGAGGGCAGGGAGGTGCCAAGAGCTAAGGATGGCGAGAACAAAAGCAGAGCTCACAAAGGCCCTGTGCCAGAAGAGTGTTCATAGCAGTCTTATACATAATAACCCCAAACTAGAAAGAACCCAGATGTCCACAAGTGGGAGAAAGTGTTGCACATTCATGCAATGGAATACAACTCAGCAGTAAAATGAACCAACTGCAGATACATGAGGGTGACTCTTCAAAACATACTGAGCAAAAGATGCCATACTAACAGAGAAACTGTATGGTTCTATCTACATAAAGTCCAAGAACAGAGAAAACTAATCCATGGTGACAGAAACAGATCAGCAGTCAGGGGAAAAGGGATGAAGAACTTCCTGGGATTCTATATTCTTGCTTTGAATGGTGGTTACTGGTGTGTCTACACAATATCAAAATTCATCACATCTGACAATTAAGATTTGTGCATTTTATTATTGTAAGTAATAACTTACTTTTAAAAAAAAAGCTGAGATGCCACTTTTCACCAATTTGACAAAGGAGTTTTTAAGTCATCATATTTAATGATTAAAAAAAGATGATGAAAGAAGCACTTTCATAACCTGCAGGTAAATATTAAATTCCGACCTTTCAGAAATTTCTTGCACATATGTATACATCTATCCTAAGGAAGTCAGTAAAGAGACAAAGATCTATGTGTAAGGATATTTTCCCATTATTTTACATAAATAACTAGAAAAATCTAAAGTTCAGCAATATAGTTTTTAATGGTCATAACAAATTATAAAGCCATTAAAAATCAAATTTTCAAAGAATTTTAATGCCATGGGAAAATGCTCACAATATGATTACATTTTTTAAATTAAAATAGGCCACCAAACTTTATAGCACTATGAGCCCAGGTATGTAAAAAAGAAAAAATTATGAGAATAGAACCTGAATTCAAGTTTCAGTTCCATTATTACTAACATGTCTTTGAAGAGTAATTCAACTTCCACATCTGTAAAACAGCAATACCTAACACCCTGGCATGATGGGAAGATCAAACAAAAATATCTAAGTGTTTTGAAAACATTAAAACATAATATTAATGTTAATAATTACTTTAAATTATCCACAATATTCTCATATTTAGATGCTTAACTTCTACTTTTCAATTAAACACATTATGCCCAATATTACAAGGACATACTACTATATCTGAAACAAATATAAATGTCATCCTCTTTTGGATTACATGTAACTGGTGCACTGTTTGGGAAAACATGTATGGGAAGACTAGGTTCAAATGATGACTCATGTGATTTTAGGCAATGTAATGAACCTTGATTCTTCATCAGTAAAATAACTACTGCTGAATAAATAGTTGTTTTCTATTATTACAGTATTCTGCTACTAGAATTATTCATCTGCAGATTAGCACCAGCTACCATTTATTAAACATATCATACACTAAACCTTGTAATCGCTCTGCAAATGGGTATTAATATTCCCACCGTATAGACCAGCTGAGGCTTCAGTAACTTAACATCTGATTAGATGACTTAAGAAAAAAGTTCAATTCATACCAAATTTTAAAATGGAGAAGCAATGATTTGGAAAGTAGACTTAAAATGTCTACATCAACATAAATGCTTCTGTTTTCACAAAAAACAGCAGAGAACTGCTCCTTCCCCACATGCCACACATCATTTCCCATGTGCCGATCTAAACCAGTCACTAAGGAAAGGGAATATTGCTCTCTGGGTCATTCCCAGTACAGAACAGTGGCAAAAATCCAGACGTTACTTCCACTTAAACTTTTTACCCACTGTATAGTTTCAGGACTCTTTAAAACACGAAGCATAGCCACTAAAATGTGAATCACACACACACAAAAAAAACAGTCTCTTCAGGTGATGGTTTACGTTCAAAACGTTTATTTAGGACAGGGGCACACATGCCCTGCTCTTTTCAAGAAGCCACCTCTGGTGACCTCTGTAATCCTGCCGCACAAAGCTCTGTGTGTGTGTGCTGGAAGAATCAGAACAGAGGTCCCATCAGTGAGTAAACACCATCCCCCCCCCTTATTTAAAACAATTTCCCAGTTAAACTGAAAGAGCAGTTTTAATTAACACTTTAACTTCATCACTTCCATTAAAGCATTGTTCACCAGAAGTCAGAACTCTCATCCTTCCCCATTTTCAACAAAGGCAACTCCCCACCTCACTTGCACTCCCACTACAGTCTGCAGAATTTCACTCAGTAAGCATTTACTGCCTGCGAACTCCATGAAGGCACTCTGCTCCCCACTGAAGATGCTGAGGGCCAACACCTATTGAGTGCCTCCTGCATGCCAGACACCGTGGCATCTTACACGCATGATCGCACAACAATCCTGAGTAGGGCAGGCACTAATCCACTCCGCCCTAGAGGAAACTGAGGCTGGGTTATGAAACTTGCCCGGGAGTTACGTGGCTGGTAAGTGGCTGAGTCGAGGGCCGGGCCCCAGGCACCCTGACCCTAAAGCTCCATCTCAACCGGAATAACACAGCTGAGAGAAACTCAGCCCTTGGTCTATAGAATTCGAGGCGGTGTTACTCGGAAGCCCCACATACATGCCTGCACGCACCTGCCTGCAGCATCCGTGCCAGTGCACATTCGCACGACCCAGAGCTGCTCCCAACGCCCCCAAAACCGTTGTGTATGCATGCACCCCTATGGATCCCCGACTGTAGGCTTCTCAGAAGGGAGCAGCAGCAGCAGCAGCACGTGCAGCAGACCAGAACGGACTCTCGGGAAGCCCATTCGCGAAGCAGGACACCCTCGTCAACGGCAACAGGTGGAGTGTGGAGACGCAACCCTGCTGGCTGGCCGGCTGGCTAACTTCAGACGCTAACCCTGAGAGAGACAGGCAGGGCCGCCCGAGCCGGCGGGGCCTCGGTGGCTCTTCCCGGTGACCCGGGCGTCCCCGCCAAGGGAGGCTGGGGGAAGGGAAGGCGCCGCCGGCCCGCAGCGCCTCCGGGCCAGGGCAGCGGGAGGCCGGGGCCGCGGGAGGCCGGGGCCGCGGGAGGCCGGGGCGGGGCTGCGGCCGGGTCGCCCGCCGAGCTGAGTCACCGCGCCCCGCTCCGGGGCCGCCCGGCCAGGGGTCGGCAGGGCGGCGCGTCCCGCCGGGGCCGCCGTCCGGGCGGAGCGAGCCGCCCGCCGCCGCTCGGGCCGCGGAGGCGCGGCTCGGCCCGGAGGCCCCGGAGTCCGCGGCGGCGCCGGCCGGGTCCCCGAGGCCGAGGCGAGCCGGGCGCCCAGGAGCCGGGACGGGCCGCCCGCCGCCGGCCGGGCCTCTCGGCCGCCTCCGCCCCTCTCCGCCGCCGCCCGCTTACCTGGCTTTGAGGCACAGCAGCTCCTCAAACTGCCCGGCCGAGCCGACCTCGGCCACCGCCGCCGCCGCCGCCTCGGCCGCCCCCGCCGCCATGCTGCCGCCGCCGCCGCCGCCAGACAGGAGCAGCCGAGCGCGGGCGGCTAGATAGGCACGGGCCGCCGCGCGCAGTGCGCCTGCGCGGCCAAAGCCCCGCCCCAGCACGAGGGGTCGCGCTAGCCCGGAGAGCCCCGCGGCGGCGCCGGCAGCCGGGCAGGTGCGGCTGGGGCGCGGGCCCCGGGGTGGGTCACGCGGCTCCTTCAGCTTGCGGGCCAGGCCCCGGCGGGTGACGGGAGTGGACGCGAGGTCGGGTCTGTGCACCGAGCGAGCTGGAGGCCGGCTGTAGCAGGGACTTGACGTGCAGGAGGGGATGCCCCGGGAGGTCTGGGGCCCTCGACTCCCACCCGGCGCTCCCCTCGCTCCTGGGGGGCCTGCGCCGCTCCCCGCGAGTCCAGCGCCCTCCTCCCCTCCCGCATCCGACCCATCGCCCCTGTGACCCCGGAGCGGCGGGGCCTGGGTGGGTCTGCTGGTGGGCCGGCGCCGGGACGCCCGCATCCTCCCACCTGGCCTGCACCGCCGTCCCTGGCGTTCGTGGGGCATCCCCCTGACGTGTTGGGTCTCCGGTGATTTCCTCTGCACCCCGCGGCGCGTGCTTCGCACCCGCTGCCTGGGTACCCTCGGCAGGCCCAGAACCCCCGCTGCCCTCCAGAGCCCAGCATCCGTCTGCTTTGGGCAGGGGGCCAACTTTTGTTGGATGTCCCCAGGCCACATGGGGCCAGGCCTCCGAAGCACCTCTCCTTTTGGGGTCCCCAGTCTCACTGAAGGCCATGGCTCCCACCCAGACGCTGGGGGCTCCTCCTGGACAGCCCTCCTGCTCTCTCTGGGCTTTAGATCAGGCGCCCCCGGAGGCTTCCTAACTAGCTGGGTGTTCCCAGGCCCCCCCTGCACCTGCTTTTAGGTGAACCTGTCTGAACTGTGCTTGTGTCTCACATTCTCTTGTGTTCTCAAGGAGGGAAAGAACTGGGTCTGTGTCCCAGTGCATGAAGTAGAGCTAGGCACATTGTAGGTGCTCATTCCGTGCTCTCAGCTAGCAGCTGGCAGAGAAAGAAAGTTAGCTGAGAAATCTGGCTTATGAGATTTCAAAGACTTTGCACAAGAAAAAAGAAATGTCACATATCATTAATAATTTTTATATTGTTTACATGTTGATAGTGTTAGGGATCTGCTGAGTTTTGTGAAATATCTTATTAAAATTAAATTTACCTCTATTTACCTTTGGTTACTAGGAAACTTTGAATAACATAGGTGACTTTCATTTATGGCAACACTAATCTAGTGATCAAAGTGGCTTTTAGGAACCCTGTTATATATGTGCCTCACCTTCAAATATACACGTTACAAAAAATGGTAAATTCCACTTTAAAATGCAACAAGAGAACAATGAGGAACTGTTTTGTATCTTGCCTGTATTGGTAGGTACACAAACCTAAAAGTGTGATAAAATTGTATAGAACTAAATACACACAAGTGAAACTGAAGAAACTCAAAGAAAAAAAATCAGTGAATTTTGTATGATATCAACATTCCTGCTTGTGATATCATATTACAGTTTTGCAAGATGTTACCATTGGGGGAAAGTGAACACAGAATCTCTATTATTTTTTATAGGTGCATATAAATCTACAGTATTTTTAAAAAGTTTAGTTTAAAAAAAACAATGTAAATAAAACCTTAGAGTTTACTGTGGAAAAATGCAATAGGAGGGGGAAACAATCATGTCTTAAAATGAGATATACCAATTACCATTATTAAACTTAGAATTATGTGTAAATAAAATATATAACTATATAGCGAAATGTAGTATAGAAAAAGGTCTCCAGAAGGATGCCCCCCCAGAGTATTAGGAGAGCTTGCCCCCCCAGAGTGAAAGCAGAGGAGAGTTAAAGAAAAGTTCTTCACTTTTTACTTATATGCTTCTTTGCATCAGTTGTATGTTTTCAAAGAGCATGGGCTGCTTTTGCAATTTAAAAACTAATGAAATTGTAATGCAGGAGGGAACTGTGCTACAGTGAATTTTTTTCCAAAAAAAAAAAAAGAGCACCCCTCAAATGGGCTTTTCTATAAATGCTGATTTTTTTCCCTTTAAGTGGGGTTTGCCAAAAGTAGGATACACCAGCTGCACAGCAGACTCCCTGCTTAAAGAAAAATGGTATGAAAACTCCAAGATAACATTTCCAATTCTGCCCCCTCCTTTTTTGTAGTTATTGTAGAAGCCAAAGGAAAACCTCCTCTTTACCCTCCGAACTTTCGCTGAACATCACTGGCAAACGGCAGACTCATAGGAGAAAAGGCATACAGATTTATTTGATCATAGTTTTACATGACTCAGAAACCTTCAGAATGAAGACCCAAAGATACAGGGGAAACTGTTCATTTTTATCCTTAGGTTCAACAAAGTATGGACAGCCATGTAGAAACAACTGGACAGAAGAGGTATGATCGAATGCTAACAAACTGGAACACTCAGCATGATTTGTGTGTTGGTCAGACTCTTCTTAGCCTCTGTGTAGCATTCCTTCTGGGTGCAGGGCATGACCCTGTCTATAATGGGGTTCTCTTAACATGCAGTCAAGCAAGGTAGGTCAGATAATATCTTTATGGCCAGTTTTAAATGGAAAATCGGGGAAAGTTAGAGTAATATTTTTAGGTTTGATGTATGGGGAAAAGGGGTTCTGGTTTCCATGACCACCTTAGGGAAGAGTGATTCTAGTTTCCATGTCCAGCCTCAGGAAAATGAGGGGCCAGAGACAGGGGGTCACAAGAAAGAGAAAAATGTTTGCTTCTTAGGCTGGTTTTGAGGCCTTCATTTTGGGGTATCATTTCTTGAGCCCCAGCATTATCACTATTGATGCCAACGGGCCTAGGGTCAGCAGATGACCTCGTAGCTTTAAATGCTCAGGCGTCAGCAACAGACTACTTGGCTCAGCACTGAGCCCAGCCATGTTTTGGGGAGTTCCGGGGTATACAGGTATACGCTGGTACACAGTGCTTTCAGCCTCTGAAAGCCCTCACACACACAGGTCTGTATTGATCATTCAGCACTCCCTGGAGCTGACGATGTGGAGGGCGTCACTGCCCACCCCCACTTTACAGCTAAGGAAACTGCCCAGACCCACAGCAGGGCAGGGGCAGCCCCGGGACTCAGCCCTTTACTGCCTGGAGCTCTCGCACCCACCAACGCTCTGCGGAATCCAGTCCCCTCTGAGAATGTAGGGCCCAGAGGGAAAAAGTGGCCACATTACATTGGGCCCATGACAGAACACTCTGGACTTGGCTTTCCCCTAACCCCCCCTTAGAACTCAAAAACACAGGAAAGCAGGATATTGGGGCTGATTTTGGCCTGTGTCTCCGTGAGTTCACCCTGGGCACTGCTGTTCTGCTGACTCCATATATAAGCATCATTTAGCCAAGTCCCTGGTGGGGGCGGGGGAGCAGTTCCACTAGGGAGCCCAGTGACACGTGGCTTACATGGTCAGGAAGGGCTCTCCTAACACAGCAGCTGTCTCAGTCACAGACTGGGAAGATGGGACAACTGGGCTTCCCCAGAGCGCTACATAGCACTTCCCAGCCTGGAGAGGCTGGAGCGTAGGGCCCAGGATCAGGGCTGTGGGCCTGGGAGAGCCAAATTCCCCAGGAGGGTTCAGGGGATGCTTCCTGGGCCTCCTGGCAGCAAAGAAATTGCACCTCATGACTCATGCCTATAATCCTAGCACTCTGGGAGGCCGAGGAAGGCAGATCGTTTGAGTTCAGGCATTCGAGACCCGCCTGAGCAAGAGTGAGATCCCATCTCTACTAAAAAAAATAGAAAGAAATTAGCCGGACAACTTAAAATATATACAAAAAATTAGCTGCGCATGGTGGCACATGCCTGTAGTCCCAGCTACTTGGGAGGCTGAGGCAGGAGGATTGCTTGAGCCAGGAGTTGAGTTGCTGTGAGCTAGGCTGACCCATGGCACTCTAGCTGGCAACAAAGCGAGACTCTGTCTCAAAAAAAAAAAAAAAGAAAGAAATTGCACCTCATGTCTGCAAACTGACTGTGTTTCAAAGGGGTGTGTGTGAGTGAGCTGTAATTATTTTGCTGGGTGACGACAACTAACATTACTGCTCCCCACAGGCAAGGAGATGGTTTAGCCATGAACTTTGAGGATGAGGCCTCACTCGTGCCTGTGGCCCAGAGGTGCTCAGTGGCACAGGGCCTTACCAAGGGCCCGCATGGAGAGAATGGCCTGGTCAGCTTGGATGACACGGGAGGATCCCGGTGGGTCTTTGTAAACCTCCCAAAGAGAAGCTAGAACCCAAAGAAGTGCTGGGGGTGAGGAGAATAAGAAGCAGTGTTTTTGTTTTAAATGGGTAAAACTTGGCATTTAAGGTGTTGTTATTCAACTAAAATAGCCAAGGTTTCCTTTCTTTTAAGAGAGACTCTTAAATTCCAATTACTCTGCCCCCAAAGACCAGTTGAGAATAACCCCAACCGGAGGGAATG